TTTATTTTTATAATATATTACACTTGATCTTTTTTGAATAAGTTTCTCCGTTTCTTTTTGTTTTTCTTCTAATTTATTCTGAGCCTCTATGTTACAGTTTTTATCTGTTCTGTTAGACTTCCTATTTCCTTTGTTAGTATAAACTCTTTTGACCTAAATTGTTTTTGTTTTCGAGATGAGTACTGAATTCCATGGCCTCTAAAGGCACATTTAAAGGTGTCCCATACAATAAGGGGATTTGCTGTACCTATGTTATGTCGGAAACGTGTCCTATCCTTGGCTAAGAGCAGACCTGCCTCAGGTTAGGTAGGTTTATTCTCAGGTTATACTAGCCTTTTTCTCAGACAGCTTCCTAAAATTACAGCAAAAGATGGAATAAATCTGCATCAGTAATACTGAATGCATTACATTTTAAAATCCTAATTTACATACATTGACTGAGAATATATTTTCCAGTCCTCTTTAGACCCTCCAAAAAATTAAGCTTGGTATAATTCATACTTTCGATTGGTACGATCTGGAAAGACTTGGAACCTAAACAGACAGAGTAAGATGGATGAGATCCTCTTCACCATAGCACGTAGGGGCTAAACTCAAGTAAGTCAACTTCTATTCTCACCTGCACTGCCTTAGAAGATCATTCTAGAAACAAATTGGCTCATATGTTTACAGACAAATACCCACAATCCCACTGGATGTGGGAGGATTATTAAGCCTTTGGCTCTAGAGCTGAGTCTAATGACAGAGAAAAGCCCAATGTGGAGGCTATAATTTGGGGTTTGGAGTTGCCTTCCCTCCACTGGACCAGCCTGAGCTCTGACAGATGTCTTGGTCTAATTAGTAGTTGAATAAACTCTCCTCACTGCTACTGAATAGAATTGTGCAACTTCATTAATTTGAGAACATCCCTATCACGGCACAACACATCCCAGCACAACACATCACAACACAGCACATCACAACACAACACAACACATCACAACAAAACACATCACAACATAGCACAACAAAACACATCACAACACAACACAACACAACACAGGGTAATGACACTATACAGTACAATAGCAGCAGGACGTACTGTACAATGTGTGTGTGTGTGTGTGTGTGTGTGTGTGTGTGTGTGTGTGTGTGTGTGTGTGTGTGTGTAGGCTACCTCTTGATAAAAAGGGACATACTGTAGGGATAAGAAAAGGGGTTTAGGGATGAGAAAACTTGAGCTGCACAATTTCACATCTGTCTCCAGTCTAAGAATAGCAGCAGCCTGTCTGTCTCTGGGGTTGGGGTTTGGGTTGAAACAAACCCAGTTACAGGGTTCAGTCTGAGCTCACCAACCACACTATTATGTGACTCAGTCCAGGGTCTCCAGCAAACGGATGTGGGCTGTCCAAGTATTACTTCTATGCTTAGCCTATCACACTGGTGCCTTTCGCTGATCCAGAACCTCACTTCTGTGGAAGGCCTTTGTGATAACTCGACCAATCAGAAGAGAGTTTAGTCTGTGGGTGTCCTACAGTATCTCTGTCAACTACTTGAATGGAGTACACACCAGAAAACACCAAAAGACTGAAGAGACATGCAAGTGACCACACAGAACACCTGTGGTATCTGGGTACAGAAACGATGTCTCACTTTCTCACTGCTGTCTGTTGATGAAGCTTCTAACTAGATCCTTCTGTTTGTCCATGTAAGGAGCAGCTTTGCACTGCTGCAGCCATCTTGAGTAGACTTGAGTTTAAGACTGAATCGATGAAGAATGCACTCCTGACCGCACGTCTAGCTGCTTGTTATGCAACACAGCAGCAGTACAAGCAAAAAAGTTTTATAGATACATTTCCTGGTTTCCCTGTCTCCATCTGTGGTACAACTCTTAGTCAGGAGTTTCTTCAGTGGCTAGCTAGGTGTTCACTGCGGGAGTCTGGACTAGCGGAGTACTTGGAAACCACAAATGCTTTGAAATCTCCAAATGGAACAAGCCTTCTGTGATGAGTGTGATAGAAGGAGTCAGGCACAGGAGGGTAAATCACTGAATACAGAGTTTATTCCGTCGTACACAAATGCGCTGGATAGCGACACATGGAAACAGGCACAGGGGAAACTATCTACCCTGGCAATACACGGTATGGGATACTACAACAATATACAGGCACAGGGGAAATATCTACCCCGGCAATACAAACGGAGAGTAGCTCCACCGAGCTACACTACTCTCACAAATAACAATCACCCACAAGGACAAGGGGGGCAGAGGGAACACTTATAAACGGACTAATGAGGGGAATATGAACCAGGTGTGTGTAATTGACAAGACAAGATAAATGGAATGATGATATATGGAGCGGCAGTGGCGGAAGTTGTGACAACTTCGGCGGAAGTTGTGACAACTTCACGCTCTTAAAAGCCACAAAGAACAATAAAAAAGAGAAAACCAAACATTATTAAGCCTCCTGTTTGTTCATCTCTGCCAAATGTGACGAGTAGTTTGGTGCCAGACATGTTGATGACCTCCGGCCGTGTGTTCTGGATTGTCTCGAGGTGTGTTGGCACCGGTGACTGTGTTGGCCCCGGTGACCGTGCTGGGTTTGTTAAAGCTACAGTCTGAGATCTGGGAATCTAATCAATGGTCATTTCAATGAATGATATACAGTTGAAGTCGGAAGTTTACATACATCTTAGCCAAATACATTTAAACTCAGTTTTTCACAATTCCTGACATTTAATCCTAGAAAAAATTCCCTGTCTTAGGTCAGTTAAGATCACCACTTTATTTTAAGAATGTGAAATGTCAGAATAATAGTAGAGAGAATTATTTATTTCAGCTTTTATATACACTCAATTAGTATTTGGTAGCATTGCCTTTAAATTGTTTAACTTGGGTCAAACGTTTCAGGTAGCCTTCCACAAGTTTCCCACAATATGTTGGGTGAATTTTGGCCCATTCCTCCTGACAGAGCTGGTGTAACTGAGTCAGGTTTGTAGGCCTCCTTGCTCACACACACTTTTTCAGTTCTGCCCACAAATGTTCTATAGGATTGAGGTCAGGACTTTGTGATGGCCACTCCAATACCTTGACTTTGTTGTCCTTAAGGCATTTTGCCACAACTTTGGAAGTATGCTTGGGGTCATTGTCCATTTGGAAGACCCATTTGCGACCAAGCTTTAACTTCCTGACTGATGTCTTGAGATGTTGCTTCAATATATCCACATAATTTTCCTTCCTCATGATGCCATCAATTTTGTGAAGTGCACTAGTCCCTCCTGCAGCAAAGCACCCCCACAGCATGATGCTGCCACCCCCGTACTTCACGGTTGGGATGGTGTTCTTTGGCTTGCAAGAACCCCCTTTTTCCTCCAAACATAACGATGGTCATTATGGCCAAACAGTTCTATTTTTGTTTCATCAGACCAGAGGACATTTCTCCAAAAAGTACGATCTTTGTCCCCATGTGCTGTTGCAAACCGTAGTCTGGCTTTTTTATGGCGGTTTTGGAGCAGTGGCTTCTTCCTTGCTGAGCGGCCTTTCAGGTTATGTCGATATAGGACTTGTTTTACTGTGGATATAGATACTTTTGTACCTGTTTCCTCCAGCATCTTCACAAGGTCCTTTGCTGTTTTTCTGGGATTGATTTGCACTTTTTGCACCAAAGTACGTTCATCTCTAGGAGACAGAACACGTCTCTTTCCTGAGCGGTATGACGGCTGCGTGGTCCCATGGTGTTTATACTTGCATACTATTGTTTGTACAGATGAACGTGGTACCTTCAGGCATTTGGAAATTGCTCCCAAGGTTGACCCAGACTTGTGGAGGTCTACAATTTTTTTTCTGAGGTCTTGGCTGATTTCTTTTGATTTTCCCATGATGTCAAGCAAAGAGGCACTGAGTTTGAAGGTAGGCCTTGAAATACATCCACAGGTACACCTCCAATTGACTCAAATGATGTCAATTAGCCTATCAGAAGCTTCTAAAGCCATGACATCATTTTCTGGAATTTTCCAAGCTGTTTAAAGGCACAGTCAACTTAGTGTATGTAAACTTCTGACCCACTGGAATTGTGATACAGTGAATTATAAGTGAAATAATCCGTCTGTAAACAATTGTTGGAAAAATTACTTGTGTCATGCACAAAGTAGATGTCCTAACCGACTTGCCAAAACTATAGTTTGTTAACAATACATTTGTGGAGTGGTTGAAAAACGAGTTTTAATGACTCCAACCTAAGTGTATGTAAACTTCCAACTTCAACTGTATAAACATTGATTATTGAAGAAAGAACTTATAAATGCTTCATGAGCTCAGTAAAACTGTCTTATCCCATCAAGTCCCAAAATATAAGGTTGTTTTACTCCATTGTTTGTAACAATGTCTTCAAAATGTACTACTAAAACTACCATCTTGATCTCATGGATTGTTAGTCCTTGCATTGATATAACTCATTACATTTCTCCAGTCCCATCCCTGAGCTTTATAGCAAAACCAAGAATTTTGGATTGTGGCTTTAATTTGGGTTTCCAGATCGCTCATTTCCTGTCGAAAGCCTGTAGATTAAAAAGGAAGCCGGGACGTAGGGGAAAGGTGTTGCATCTGAACCCCTGAAAACCTGAAAGAATCCCTAACAGTGTTTGGGAGGAGGAGGTGTGTGCCAATAAAAAGCCTCCTGACTGCCAGGAGTCAGACTTTATTGCTGTACTATTAACACACGTTTTTCTCTAAAGTCTGAAGAGTGGCACAGATCAAAAAGTCACCATTTCTTTTGTCTGGCTTGTTCGCTGCCCATAACGAGGTCCTGAACCATGGAAGAACCACTGCATGCATACACACACACACACACACAGAGACACAGACACAGACACGGAAACACACACACCCACAAACACAAACACAAACGCACACACACATCCATGGGAGCCAATACGGTGGAGAATGTCTTGGTCACTCCTCTGCATGTGGCTGTCTGAAGAAAGCTTAAACCATCTCTGGCCCTGCTCCTCCTCCTCAGTCAGCCTACCCGTCCACCCAGTCAGCCACACACACAGACAGCAGCTGTTCCGTGCCTCACTATGACAGCCTAGCCTAGCCTCACCTCTATCTCTACTGTGAGCCACACACACCACACACACACCACACACACACATCCCAGGCAACAAACAGTACAGGAGGACCAAGAGCACCACTCTGCCTGATAAGGATCAGTCTCTCCAGAGAAACAGGTCTGGGAACAGTGAGAGGACAGAATGGGACTGTGGACGACGCTGATCGTGGCTTCGCAGCTGATCTTGAACCTGTGTTCAGAGGTGGGAGCCCAGGGCTCAGGTGAGTGTAGCCGATAATGATTTTTTTTTATTATTACTGAATGTGATGCCTATATGATCTTAATGTGGTCATTGAAGTCTATTGAAACCATACAATTGCACCACAAAGTACTTTTAAGTTATCGCTTTGTAATCACAGGATACAACAGCTAAAAGTTACAATTCGACAATTTGATCTTAGCCAAAGACAGACAGTTTAATTTGACACACAGACCGACTGTGATGTCATCTTCAGATGCCTCTTATCAGTCTACTAAAGCTCTCAGCACTCTACCTCAGAGGATTCCAATCGAGAACCATGAAGCTCTGAGGTAATGATTGATCTAACAGACACTGTGATTGAGAATATCATAGGTAACAAAATCTGTCAACACAAAATCAATATTGCTCTTCTTTACATTGCAATCACCATTGTACCTGTTTTTTTATTTTTTATTTTGCAAAATGAGAATATCATATTAATTCGCACTCAAGCCAATATACACAAAGGCCTAGACATGACATTTGATACTCGGTTGGGTAAGAATAAATGTTCTGATAAATAGTCCTCTGTGTCCTGTGTGTTGAGAAGATTGAAAAGACATGCTTCATAAGAATGTTGTGTACTGACTTTAGAGTGAGGGAGAGTAAGAGGTGATGACTGAGATGTGACCGCTGTAGTAATTGAGTGTGTGTGCGTGTGCGTGTGTGTTTAGTGTACTGCCTGAACTGGTTGACTTGGTTCACTGGTATCTCTGTGACTCTGAGAGGGAGGTGGGGGGGAGGGGGAGGGGGAGGGGGGGGGGGGGGGGGGTCTGGAGTCTGGATCTGATTTAAAAACCCAGCTACAACACACACATGGGAATAATCACTAATGGTCTGCATGCAATACTGGAATCTGAAAACACACACACACACACACATGCACCACAACACACAGGGCTTTTAAAATGGCATCTGCACTGAGGTACAGGCCATAACTGTCACTGATTGTGAGAGATATTATTTTACAAATATATTCACAGCTGCACTGCACACAGTTGTCTCCATTGATAAATAGTAAACATTTTACTCACTAGCAGTTCATACAAATATACATTATTGGCAATTATTGCATGAGGTTTTACTATAAACAAGAAAAAGGTTGGATTTATTGAGTAAATTGTCAATCACCTGCCTTGTGTTTACAGTAAACCTTTGTTCTGACCTATAATATATGCCATTTAGCAGACGCTTTTATCCAAAGTGACTTACAGTCATGCATGCATACATTTTTCATGTGGGTGGCCCCGGGAATCGAACCCACAATCCTGGTGGTGCAATTACCATGCTCTACCAACTGAGCCATACAGGACTTAAATGGATTGTCAACCTATCAAGGCACAATATATATATCAGACTACAATGACACCGTTTTTTTATTATTATCTACTGCATCAAGGTGATTTTATTGTCACTTTATGACTTTATGCGACTTTTTGTGGTTGTTAATGTCACTTTTAGTCATGTGTGTGATACTGTATGTGAGCCGTTCAGGCGAATTTAAGGTGGATTTGGTTTCATGAGGAAATCCTGACACACACATGGCCCTGAGTCTGAAACATAGATGGAAGAGAGAGTGTGTGTATACTGTGTCTAAACAGACAGATGAGGATAGAAAACGAGTTGGTTTGTTTAGATTGTTGTGTTGGTGCACCCCCCAATCCCAGCGTGCAGGCCAAGTCACACTGAACCATACAGACATCTATATGTTAGTGTTTGGCTAACCTCCCTCCTCAGGTGAGGGGGACAATGGTGATGCTGAAGCCTTCCACAAGCCAGTCCTGTCAGTGTGTTTGTAAAGGTGAGATTGAGTGCAGGAAAGGAAAAGGAGCCTCCAGTCACGTTTAACCACACACCTTTAAAATCCCCCCGTGCTGCTCCCTGGTGAGCTGGAACAGATTGAGGCCAGGCTAGGCAGGGGGAACGGGAGGAAAGAAGAAAGATGTCTGAAGCTGACAGACACAGATGGAAGCCCACGCACGCACACACACTGAGAAGAAGGGAGATGAGAGCAATTTTCTGGAAGCATTTGGGAGCAATTTGGTGCGTGCCTTCACGACAGTGTGCCTTGTAGACGGCTGCTAGGGCACTTGTGTATTCATGTAGGGTCTCAGACTGGCGGGGAGGGATTCAAGATACATCCTCCTGAGGTCTGCTGTGTCCCGGAGTGACTTTATTGGACTAGAATTGTAACCTTGAGCTTAACTCTTCAGTGGCTTCTACTTTCCACTCCCTGAGCACTCAGTACAGTACAGTCTATCCATATTTATCTAATGCTATTTTTGTGGTAAAATCGTCAAGCAAAAGACCCACAGGGTTATTTCCACTGAGACAAACTCATTCTGATCTTGATCTTCCAGCCCATCCTAGTCTACTGACATAAAGTATCCCCTCGGGACATCAAATCTAGTAGCTCAAGAACGATCAAAATACCATACATTCTGATAAAAGTGAAATGTTTTACCCCAAACTCATATTCTGCCTCATCAACAACTAGCCTACTCTCTCATGACGACCAGCATATTCTCAGCACTTTAAAACCTCTAGCTCAGCAATCATCAACATTCAGGTCAAAGTGGTCAAGTGGATTCTGCAGGGCAGGCAATGTAACATTTCTCCCCAGCTAGCCAAACTCATTGTGATGTTCCAGCCCAGTTTAGTCTATAAAGTATTGACGTGCACTTTCCCCACGATACATCCAAAACACCTTGCTCAATAACAATCCTATTAATCTACTCAGGCGTCTTTATTCTCACTGTACTGAGCAGCAGAACTTTACTTTGTTACTTTACTTTATTTCCCCTCAAAGATTACTTTATTTTACTTGACTTTATGTTTCCCTTTACAGTTATTTTACTTGACTTTATGTTTCCCTTTACAGTTATTTTACTTGACTTTATGTTTCCCTTTACAGTTATTTTATTTTACAGTTCCCTTTACAGTTATTGTACTTGACATTTCCATTTCCCTTTACCTTTATTTTACTTTACGTTTCCCTTTACAGTTATTTTACTTTACAATTCCCTTTACAGTTATTTTACGTAATTTTTTCCTCTGTAGTGTATGATCTCCTCAATTCCCCGGACTGTCTGCCAGACCTGCTGCAGGGTGGCCTGGTGGAGCAGGGGGTGAATGAGGCTTTCATCCTCACCACCTTCAAGCTGCAGCCCAAGACTGGCACCACAGTGTTCGGCCTGTACAACCCCCGGGACAACAGCAAGTACTTTGAGTTTACCGTGCTGGGGAAACTCAACAGAGGTAACGGGTAGGAAGGAGAGGCAGGGGCGTCATGCCCATTGAAACACTGAAAATATAGAAGATATTGTTTCTTTTACTCATTATTAATTCAAAGATATCGATTTTTGGGCACCAGTGCCCCTCAAAGAAATTAGGTGCACAACGCCTCAGGGGAGAAGGATGCATAATATATTGGTCTGAATGCACTTTTCTGTACTATGTCAAATTAAATAACATTTTAATTGTCACATGCTTTGTAAACAACAGGTGTAGACTAACAGTGAAAAGACTCTTAGTTCTCTCTCTCTCTCTTTTCATTTAATTTGTGTTTAAAAATCATTATTTTCTCTCTCTGCTTCTACATTATTCATGAATTCACTTCATTGACACATTTGCTGTGATTCCCTCTCCATCTCACGTCCTTTTCCCTTAACTACCACCTCTCTCTCTCTCTCTCTCTCTCTCTCTCTCTCTCTCTCTCTCTCTCTCCCTCCCTCCCTCCCTCCCTCCCTCCCTCCCTCCCAGCTGTGCTGCGTTACCTGAGGAGTGATCGGAGGATGAGCTCTGTGACCTTCAACAACATCCTGCTGGCGGATGGTCAGCGCCACCACCTCCTTTTCCACCTGAAGGGCTTGCAGCAGGGACCCGGGGGGGTGGAGCTACACCTGGACTGCAGGCTGGTGGAGACAGTCCGGGACCTCCCCTCCGTGTTTCAGGGCCTGCCTGCAGGCTACGGTGTGGTGGAGCTGAAGAGCATGCAGGGCAAAGCAGAGGTGATGTTAATGGATGTATCTCAAATAACACCATATTCCTTTTATAGAGCACTTATTTTGACCATTGACCACAGGTACCCAGACCATTGCTTTTGTTGACTTTGTACTCAGGGAAACCATGAGTGATGTCACTTATTTACTCCTAGATCCTCCTTCCAAATTCAAATGACCCAAACCCCCTAGCCTGGGTGCCAGATAGTCTGATTCTGCTTTGGTCAAATCCTTGTCCCTCGAAAATTAGAGTTGGCTACAGCAGGTACAAATCTGGAAACCAGGAAACAAATTTGGTAACCACCTTATCCTAATCCAAACAAACCCATCCATCAGCATTCAGCACTGATTCTCTGTAGCTCAGCTGGTAGAGCACGGCGCTTGTAACGCCAGGGTAGTGGATTCGATCCCTGGGACCACCCATACACAAAAATGTATGCACGCATGACTGTAAGTCGCTTTGGATAAAAGCGTCTGCTAAATGGCATATTACTATATTATTATTCCAACTAATGCGTCCCTGTTGTTGGACTTCTTCACAAACAGGAAGAGCTGGAGGAGCTGAAACTAGTGGTGGGAGACACGTTTGAGAACGTAGCCTCTCATCAAAACTGCCACCAACAAGGAGACTCAGTGCAGACTCTGGGTAAGAGTTGATTTAGTCTCTAGTACTGTCTAGTTTACACAGACAAAAACTTTTAGAGGAAAGGCTTTTTCTTCTTGTTTTTTTAAAAACTGTTTTTCATGCAAATAAATGGTGATAGAATGCTCATATATACACTACCAGTCAAAAGTTTGGACACACCTACTCATTCAAGGGTTTTTCTTTATTTTTTACAATTGTTTACATTGTAGAACAATAGTGAAGACATCAAAACTATGAAATAACACATATGGAATCATGTAGTAACCAGAAGAGTGTTAAACAAATCAAAATATATTTTATATTTGAGATTCTTCAAAAGTAGCCACCCTTTGCCTTGATGACAGCTTTGCACACTCCTGGCATTCTCTCAACCAGCTTCATGAGGTAGTCACCTGGAATGCATTTCAATTAACAGGTGTGCCTTCTTAAAAGTTAATTTGTGGAATTTCTTTCCTTCTTAATGCGATTGAGCCAATCAGTTGTGTTGTGACAAGGTAGGGGGGGGGGGGGGGGTATACAGAAGATAGCCCTATTTGGTAAAAGACCAAGTCCATATTATGGCAAGAACAGCTCAAATAAGCAAAGAGAAACGACAGTCCATCATTACATTAAGACATGAAGATCAGTCAATATGGAACATTTCAAGAACTTTGAAAGTTTCATCAACTGCAGTCGTAAAAACCATCAAGCGCTATGATGAAATTGGCTCTCATGAGGACCGCCACAGGAATGGATTACCTCTGCTGCAGAGGATAAGTTCATTAGAGTTACCAGCCTCAGAAATTGCAGCCCAAATAAATACTTCACAGAGTTCAAGTAACAGACACATCTCAACATCATGGTCGAATTGCTGCAAAGAAACCACTACTAAAGGACACCAATAATAAGAAGAGACCTGCTTGGGCCAAGAAACACAAGCATATGTGGGAACTCCTTCGAGACTGTTGGAAAAGCATTCTAGGTGAAGCTGGTTGAGAGAATGCCAAGAGTGTGCAAAGCTGTCATCAAGGCAAAGGGTGGCTATTTGAAGAATCTCAAATATAAAATATATTTAGATTTGTTTAACACTTTTTTGGTTACTACATGATTCCATATGTGTTATTTCATAGTTTTGATGTCTTCACTATTATTCTACAGTGTAAAAAATAGTAAAAATAAAGAAAAACCATTGAATGGGTAGGTTTGTCCAAACTTTTGACTGGTACTGTATGTCTCTACTGTCAAATTCACACAAAAACAACAGTTACTGTAGATTGAGGGTAGTTTAAACAAGAACCCCCTCTCGAGTCTGTTGGTATGACCAATGTTCTTTTCCAATGCTGCTCTCCTTTGCAGGGGTCAACACAAAGCAGCTGTCTAATCAAATGCTTGATCTCACCAAGGTGATAAATGAGCTAAAAGATGTCCTCATTCAGCAGGTAACTATAGTGTTCAAGCTCATCTGGGAGCTATTAAACTGTACCTCCTGACTCACTGAGACCATAAAAACTAAAAACATGTTTTTGTTGCTTTCTAAAGGTCAAAGAGACATCTTTTCTCAGAAACACCATCTCTGAGTGCCAGGCTTGTGGTAAGAACATCCACCACCACCATTATATTACAAATTATGTATTAAAGTTCTGTTATATGTTGTTTATAGATTGGGCCAATAGCTTTTTCCTGACCATGAGGAAAATCCCTGGGCCCAAGTAATAAAACTAGTTTGAAGCATGTTCACTTATAACACATTCATTACTAATACATGAGAAGCCACTGGTATTGTGGAAACGACTGTTATAAAAATATATTTCCTCTGGGTGTCTTTGAAGGACTGGGAGGAAGCGAAGTCATGAAGCCAAAGTGTGCCCCTGGCGTTTGTTTCCGTGGCGACATGTGTATTGAGACGGAGGACGGGGTTGAGTGTGGACCCTGTCCTGATGGATACACAGGGGACGGCTTCAGCTGTGATGATGTGGATGAGGTAGGGTGTGTGTGTGTGTGTTATGTGCAGGTGCATGTGTGTTCACTATATGTATTTGTATGGCTGTAATAATTCTGAAATACTAACCAAGCGTCGTCTTCCGTCTCTCTCTCCAGTGTCAGCTTAACCCTTGCTTCCCCGGGGTGAAGTGTGTGAACACGGCTCCAGGGTTCCGCTGTGAAGCCTGTCCTCTGGGCTACTCTGGTCTGGCTGTGGAAGGGGTGGGAGTGGTCTACGCACAGACAAACAAACAGGTCTGTCAACATCACCAAATACACTCAAGGTCTCCAGGTCAGTCAACATCACTAAATACAGTCAAGGTCTCCAGGTCAGTCAACATCACCAAATACACTCAAGGTCTCCAGGTCAGTCAACATTACCCAATACAGTCAAGGTCTCCAGGTCAGTCAACATCACCAAATACAGTCAAGGTCTCCAGGTCAGTCAACATCACCAAATACACTCAAGGTCTCCAGGTCAGTCAACATCACCAAATACAGTCAAAGTCTCCAGGTCAGTCAACCTCACCAAATACAGTCAAGGTCTCCAGGTCAGTCAACATCACCAAATATACTCAAGGTCTCCAGGTCAGTCAACATCACCAAATACAGTCAAGGACTCCAGATCAGTCAACATCACCAAATACAGTCAAGGTCTCCATGTCAGTCAACATCACCAAATACAGTCAAATTCTCCAGGTCAGTCAACATCACCAAATACAGTCAAGGTCTCCAGGTCAGTCAACATCACCAAATACAGTCAAGGTCTCCATTTTAATTTGGTAAAAGAAAAAGCTGCACACTCTAGTAGGTCTGTTGTAATAATTTATTCACCAACGTTTCGACAGGAAGCTGTCTTCCTCCATTTCAATTCAGTCAATGGACAATTCAAGAAGATTAATTTAAATGAAATGTACCCCTACCCACCCATGGAACACCTTTTCAAGATATGTATCATAATAATCATCTCCGGTTTTGTATTTTATACGGTCTCTTAGGTCTGTGATGACATCGACGAGTGCAAAGAAGCCAACAACGGACGGTGCACCGCTAACTCTCTCTGTCACAACTCTGCGGTAAGGACTGAGTGTCTGTCGCCAGATCGTTTTGTTTCTTCAGCCAATTCCTGACCTTTGTTATCATACAACAGAAAAAGCACAAACAGATCAGGCACCAGGCTAGTATCTGATAGCCTGGAATAAAAACGGAATATCACTCATTTAAACAATAGTGCAAGGAGGGAACAATGTTAACTGGATTCCAAATATGTCAGGTGGGGTCCTATGGATCACAAACTGGCCTCCATTGACAGAACTCTCTCTCATTGCCTGTTCCCCTACATTCTCCCTATAGGGTTCATATGTCTGTGGGGGGTGTAAGACAGGATACACAGGAGACCAGGTGAAGGGCTGTAAGCCAGAGAGGAGCTGTGGTAACAGTCTGACCAACCCCTGTGATGTCAACGCCCAGTGTTTCCAAGAAAGAGACGGCTCCATCACCTGTCAGGTGGGGTCCTATGGATCACAAACTGGCCTCCATTGACAGAACTCTCTCTCACACACACACACGCGCACACAAACGAATGATACACACATGCACGCATACACACCCAACATAAAAATTAAAAAATAGGCCAGACTTACACAAACTGCCTTCTACACACACACACACGCAAACTCACGCAAACACACACACACACACACGCACACATGCAAATACACGCACACACACAGAAATGCAAACACACACACACACACACGCACTCACGCAAACACTCACACACACAAACACACACACACACAAACACACACACACACACAAACACACACACACGCAAACACACACACGCGTGCACACACACACAAACGAATGATACACACATGCACACATACACACCCAACATAAAAAAAAAAAAATAGGCCAGACTTACACAAACTGCCTTCTACACACACGCAAACACACACACACACACACACAAGCAAAACACAAACACAAACATGCACACACGCAAACATGCACACACGCAAACACGCAAACACGCACACACACACTGTCTCTTAAGTGTTCTCTCTTCTTTCTCCTGTCAGTGTGGGATTGGCTGGGCTGGTAATGGCTACCTATGTGGAAAGGACACAGACATTGATGGATACCCTGATGAGAAACTCAAGTGCAAGGATATGCTTTGTAAAAAGGTAACCATGACAACACAACAAATACAACTATCCTGGGATAAACGGCACGTCTCTCTTTGCATGCCTTCCTCTCTCTCTCTCTCTCTCTCTCTCTCTCTCTCTCTGTCTCTCTCTCTCTGCATCCCCAACTGTCCCTTCTCCCCTCTCTCACTCCCTCTTCCCCTCCTCTCCCTTTTCCCTCCCTCCATCTTCTTTTGATGGTGTGTCTGTTAAAGGGATAACCATAAATCTGTCAATAAATAAATCTGTCTGTTGTCAGGATAACTGCATGCGCGTTCCCAACTCTGGCCAAGAGGATGCTGACAAGGACGGACAAGGAGACGCTTGTGACGACGACGCTGATGGAGACGGTATTCTGAATGAACAGGTAGAACTTTATATGCAGGTAGACCTTACATCTTTACACACACACACACAGCCCCCTCACCCACACTCTCTCAAATAAAATTGAATCAAATGTATTTAGAAAGCCCTTTTTACATCAGCAGATGTCACAAAGTGCTTATACAGAAACCCAGCCTAAAACCCCAAACAGCAAGCAATGCAGATGTAGAAGCACGGTGGCTAGGAAAACTCCCTAGAAAGGCAGGAACCTAGGAAGAAACCTAGAGAGGAACCAGGCTTTGCGGGGTGGCCAGTGCCGGGTGGAGGTTATAAGAGTACATGGCCATTAAGGCCAGATCATTCTTCAAGATGTTCAAACGTTCATAGATGACCAGCAGGGTCAAATAATAATCACAGTGGTTGTAGAGGGTGCAACAGGTCAGCACCTCAGGAGAGAGAGAGAGAGAGAGAGAGAGAGAGAGAGAGAGAGAGAGAGAGAGAGAGAGAGAGAGAGAGAGAGAGAGAGAGAGGAGAATTAGAGGACACCGGTTAAGACAGGAGAATTTCACCAGATAGGACAGACTGACCCTAGCCCCTCTGTGCCCCTCTCCCATGCAGGATAACTGCTGGCTGAAGCCTAACGTGGACCAGAGGAACAGTGACAAGGACAGCCATGGTGACGCCTGTGACAACTGTCGTACGGTGGAGAACCCTGATCAGAGGGACACTGACAGTGACGGGAAAGGAGACGCCTGCGATGATGACATGGATGGAGACGGTACAGCGACACATCACTACCACCTAGCTACAGTCTGTCACAGTAGTCTGTTCCAACAGCCGCTTGTCTAGAATCCTTGAACATACAGTGCCACCAAACACCTACCCTACAATGACCCAATGATTTATATACTAGAGGAGTAGAGGGGGTGTTGTTTTGAAGCCACAGCGCCTCCATCTTGGCATTCCCCCAATATTGTAAAAAATATTTTGGAAGCTATAGAAATGCATTAATTAATATCTACATTCATTCTTTCCACGTTAATTATATTACAGACACCTTAATGCATACTTTTAAAATATATTATTTGAGCTAAACATAAAAAATTATATATATTTAAAAAAAAAAATACAAAACATTATATTGTTACATTCCCCACTACAAAACAAAACTTAAATACATGTACTTTTGTCCTTTATTTAATTGAAATACTGTAGAATTCTACTCATTGATATGGAGGACTGCTCCTTCTGGGGAGTGCCAATATGGCCGACCGAAGGCTTCAAAGCCTCTCACTGACCAACACATAGCATCAGCAATCCAGGGTTTATATACATCATTGCCCCGACCCCATTACTAAAATCACCTCTTAAGTTAACACAAACATACAGTATGCCTTTATCCTCCTTACTCTTTAATACTGTAGATGACTGTCTGGGTTTCTTTTTATAGACCCTGTCTACAGACGGCTTGACCTTTATGCTACGACCACAGTACTGTTGCTTCCCTGAGATAAATGAGAAATGACACACACAGGGCCTACTGTATTCGCTAGCACAGACTGGAATACGTTCCGGGATTCTTCCGATGGCATTGAGGAGTACACCACATCAGCCACTGGCTTCATCAATAAGTGCATCGATGAGCCATGGATTACAGGCAACATCAGCACTGAGCTAAAGGGTAGAGCTGCCGCTTTCAAGGAGCGGGACTCTAACCCGGAAGCTTATAAGAAATCCCGCTATAACCTCCAACGAACCATCAAACAGGCAAAGCATCAATACAGGACTAAAATCGAATCGTACTACACCGGCTCCGACGCTCGTCGGATGTGCCAGGCCTTGCAAACTATTACAGACTACAAAGGGAAGCACAGCCGCGAGCTGCCCAGTGACACGAGCCTACCAGACGAGTGTGATCACGCTCTCCGTAGCCGATGTGAGTAAGACCTTTAAACAGGTCAACATTCCCAAGGCCGCAGGGCCCTACGGATTACCATGACGTGTACTCCGAGCATGCGCTGACCAACTAGCAGGTGTCTTCACTGACATTTTCAACCTCTCCCTATCTGAGTCTGTAATACCAACATGTTTCAAGCAGACCACCATAGTCCCTGCGCCCAAGAACACTAAGGTAGCTGGTCATGGCTCACATCAACACCATTATCCCAGAAACCTTAGACCCACTCCAATTTGCATACCGCCCCAAAATATCCACAGATGATGCAATCTCTATTGCGCTCCACACTGCCCTTTCACACCTATGTGAGAATGCTATTAATTGACTACAGCTCAGCATTCAACACCATAGTGCCCTCAAAGCTCATCACTAAGCTAAGGACCTTGGGACTAAACACCTCCCTCTGCAACTGGATCCTGGATTTCCTGACGGGCCGTCCCAAGGTGGTAAGGGTAGGTAACAACACATCCGCCACGCTGATCCTCAACACGGGGGCCCCTCAGGGGTGCGTGCTCAGTCCCCTCCTGTGCTCCCTGTTCACTCATGACTGCATGGCCAGGCACGACTCTAACGCCATCATTAAGTTTGCCGATGACACAAGAGTGGTAGGCCTGATCACAGACAATGACGAGACAGCCTATAGGGAGGAGGTCAGAGACCTGGCCGTGTGGTGCCAGGACAACAACCTCTCCCTCAACGTGATCAAGACAAAGGAGATGATTGTGGACTACAGGAAAAGAAGAGGACTGAGCACGCCCCCATTCTCATCGACGGGGCTGTAGTGGAGCAGGTTGAGAGCTTCAAGTCCACATCACCAACAAACTATCATGGTCCAAACACACCAAGACAGTCATGAAGAGGGCACGACAAAACCTATTCCCCCTAAGGAGACTGAAAATATTTGGCATGGGTCCTCAGATCCTCAAAAGGTTCTACAGCTCCACCATCGAGAGCATCATGACTGGTTGCATCACCGCCTGGTATGGCAATTGCTCGGCTTCCGACAGCAAGGCACTACAGAGGGTAGTGCGTACGGCCCAGTACATCACTGGGGCCAAGCTTCCTGCCATCCAGGACCTCTATACCAGGTGGTGTCAGAGTAAGGCCCTAAAGATTGTCAAAGACTCCAGCCACCCTAGTCATAGACTGTTCTCTCTGCTACCGGAGCGTGAGCGGTACCGGAGCGCCAAGTCTAGGTCCAAGAGGCTTCTAAACAGCTTCTACCCCCAAGCCATAAGACTCCTGAACATCTAATGAAATGGCTACCCAGACTATTTGCATTGCCCCCCCCCCCCCCTCCATATTTTACGCTGCTGCTACTCTCTGTTTACTATCTATGCATAGTCACTTTAATAACTCTACCTACATGTACATATTACCTCAATTACCTCGACTAACCGGTGCCCCCGCACATTGACTCGGTACCGGTACCCCCTGTATATAGCCTCGCTATTGTTATTTGTACTGCTGCTCTTTAATTATTTGTTACTTTTATTTCATATAATTTTATATTGTATTTTTTTGTGTGATTTGTTTTGGTATTCTTTCTAAAAACTGCATTGTTGGTTAAGGGCTTGTAAGTAAGCATTTCACAGTAAGGTCTACACCTGTTGTATTCAGCGCATTTGACAAATATAATTTGATTTGATTTGATTTGATTTCAACAGTTCACACAGATGCCAAATGCAACAGTGCCTCCCAGTGGCACAACTAGTGAACTATTAGAAACAGCATATCAATGGAAACAGAATCATGCAGTTTGCTTTTAAATCCCAATGCATTGATTCAACGTCAGTGGTTAAGCCTTCAAATCATATAAATCATGTTTTATGATTTTCTCATGGGCCATACTTCACTTTTTGAATGTATCCCTTGGAGATTCACAGATGTTCTAAATTTGAAATATCCGTTCATACGTCACAAAGCAGTGCTCCTGAAAGAGTCCACTTGAAGCTGAAGCACTCTCATGTATTTCACCAACACTTCTGCAAAGTGGTGGGATACTATTGGTCAGATAACTTTACAAACTCAATCTTTGTAATTGAATTGGTCTCCAGGCTTGAAGAACTTCCTGGATAACTGCCAGCGGGTGGTGAACCGGGACCAGTTAGACCGGGATGGAGACGGAGTGGGAGATGCCTGTGACAGCTGCCCTGATATCCCTAATCCTAACCAGGTCAGACTGCCTCCACAGGCCTCCATTAGGGCACTGAGACCTGTTCAGTTTACAGATATAAAATTGGATATGGAGCAACTGAACTGTCCTACCCTGTCTTAAATATTATACTGAGTGGTCAAAAAGTGTTTTAACAAATCTGTGCTCTAATTTTAGTCCGACATCGACCATGACCTGGTTGGGGATTCTTGTGACACAAACCAAGACAGGTACAAGAGGAAACATCTTTTAAAATTATCTGACTTGAGAAAAAGTATGCTCTTAAAATATCCACTTCATGATTTCATTGATTTAGTCAATTCATGATTGCAGTGGTCAATATTTCCATTTATTTTGACGAATATTAATATTTTACTGTATATTTTAGTATACTGTGCATAAACTAGGTTTCCAGTCCAATGTTATTTAACTGCCAGCCATTCCCTACTAGCCTGAGTTCCAGATCTGTTTATGCTGTCTTGTCAACTCCTTGCTGTCGACAAGACAGCACAAACAGATCTGGGACTCAGACTAAATCCATACATGTGATCTTTTCTGTCCCTCCTCCCTGTGTGTCACCCCCTGTTCTGTAGTGATGGTGACGGTCACCAGGACACCAAGGACAACTGTCCCAACGTGATCAACAGCTCCCAGCTGGACACAGACAAAGACGGCCTGGGGGATGAGTGTGACGATGACGATGACAACGACAGCATCCCTGACTTCCTGCCACCGGGACCCGACAACTGCAGACTGGTGCCCAACCTCGACCAGCTGGATGAGAACAGTCAGTCTTTAATATTTATTTCACACGATTTACTTTCCCGCTTCAACCAAATTGCCCAGCAATGGGACAATAATGCTTTTCTGAATCTGAATGTGAATTCTTGAGTTATCACCTAAAAGCCTGGTGATCCAGTCTGTTTGTGCTTTGGCCAACTCCTCTCTGTGTTAGTTTGTGTCCTGACAAACAGACAGTAAATGGTGTGACAACTGTAGAAGAGTATGGGACCAGACTGCATTTTAAGTGGAAGTAAAACACAAGAAAGTGAACACCTATGCACTAACAAGGTTTTCCATCAAATAAAATGTAATGTTATTTGTCACATGCTTCGTAAGCAACAGGTGTAGACTAACAGTGAAAATTCTTACTTCACATTCAGCTTTGACACCTGCAAAAAAAAAATAAAAGTTGCTTAATTGGTCTACTACTGTACCATTCATCACCATTGACCATTGACATTCAACCAGTTTGCGGCAGGTAGCCTAGTGGTTAAGAGTGTTGGGCCAGTAATCTAAAGGTTGCTGGTTCAAATCTCTGAGCCAACTAGGTGAATAATCTGTCGATGTGCCCTTGAGCAAGGTACTTAACCCTAATTGCACCTGTATGTCACTCTGGATAAGAGCGTCTGCTAAAATTTAAAAATGTAACCAACCTGAAACTCTCCACTTTACCAGTGTATTGTCTATGCTTAGAACCTTACTGGCCATCATTTCTAAGCGTTTGTGTATTCTCTCCTCCCAGATGACGGTGTTGGAGATGTGTGTGAGTCAGACTTTGACCAGGACAAGGTGATTGACAGGATAGACAACTGCCCAGAGAACGCTGAGGTCACTCTGACAGACTTCAGAGCCTATCAGACGGTGGTGCTGGACCCGGAGGGCGACGCCCAGATTGACCCCAACTGGGTGGTACTTAATCAGGTCAGATGGTCATTTACTGGATGGACTTACAAAACAATAAGTTCAACATGGCAGAAATGCTTTGACTTTGTCAACATGATTGACATTTAATCTCTCAAACAGGGAATGGAGATTGTGCAGACCATGAACAGTGACCCTGGACTTGCTGTGGGTAAGAAAGACTTCTAAATCGTTATCAGGTATCGTACCATGTTATCTTATATGGTATTGTATCAAGTCGTATCCTATTTTATCGTGACATTTTTGTTGTGTTGTGCTCCCAAGGTTACACTGCATTCAGTGGGGTGGACTTTGAGGGGACGTTCCATGTGAACACGGTGACTGACGATGACTACGCAGGCTTCATCTTCGGCTACCAGGACTCTTCCTCCTTCTACGTGGTCATGTGGAAACAGACTGAGCAGACCTACTGGCAGGCGACACCCTTCAGAGCAGTGGCCGAGCCTGGCATCCAGCTCAAGGTGTGTGTGTGTGTGTGTGTGTGTGTGTGTGTGTGTGTGTGTGTGTGTGTGTGTGTGTGTGTGTGTGTGTGTGTGTGTGTGTGTGTGTGTGTGTGTGTGTGTATGTGTGTATGTGTGTGTGTGTGTGTGTGTGTGTGTGTGTGTGTGTGTGTGTGTGTGTGTGTGTGTGTGTGTGTGTGTGTGTGTGTGTGTGTGTGTGTGTGTGTGTGTGTGTGTGTGTGAAGTTAGTACAAAAAGACAAAGACAGATTTGGTTTAGGGTGGCTGTTGATTGTACAATTCAACACACACACACGTGTAGTATGGAGAGCCACCCTAAACACAATCTGTCTTGAAAGAACTACTGCCAGGCCACAAAGCAGTGGCCGAGCCTGGCATCCAGCTCAAGGTGTGTGTGTGTGTGTGATTGTGTGTGGGATTGTGTTTTTGAAGTGAGTACGAAAAAACAAAGATGGATTGTGTTTAGGGTGGCTCTGTGCAATTCAACACAAACACGTGTACTGTGGAGAGCACAGGAGGTTGGTAGCACCTTAATTGGGTAGGACGGCTCATGGTAATGGCTGGAGCGGAATAGGTGGAATGGTATCAAATACATTAAACACATGGTTTCCATGTGTTTGATGCCATTCCATTTGCTCCATTCCAGACAGTATTATGAGCCGTCCTCAAATCTGGCTTTGTCTCTTTGTACTTACTTATTTCTTACATTCTCTCCCTCACTATCTCCTCTCTCCATCTCTCTCTCCCTCCCCGTCCCCAGGCTGTGAAGTCTAAGTCGGGTCCAGGGGAGCACCTGAGGAACTCCCTGTGGCACACAGGGGATACAAACGACCAGGTGCGTCTGCTGTGGAAGGACCCCAGGAACGTGGGCTGGAAGGACAAGGTTTCCTACCGTTGGTACCTGCAGCACCGACCCCAGGTCGGATACATCAGGTGAGACAGCTGAGAGAAAAATTGAGAGAGAGAGAGTTTGTGTGAGTCTGATGTGATGTCATCGTTACATCTAATACACAATGGTGTACAACAATGGCTAATGTCTGTTGGGTGTTTGGACAGGGCCCGTTTCTATGAGGGGACAGAGCTGGTGGCTGACTCTGGCGTGACCATCGACACCACCATGAGAGGAGGCCGACTGGGAGTGTTCTGTTTCTCTCAGGAAAACATAATCTGGTCCAACCTAAAGTACCGCTGCAATGGTAAGCAACAGGCTAGTTGAAACGGGTCATTTGAGACGCTCTTTTGTCTTTACTCACACTTTTTGTTTTGAACTCAAATTAGTCAAATTCATCAACCAAAGTGGCATCCTTAATTTAACTGACTCTCGGTAGAACTTGACCTTGACCCTTAACCTCTGACCTCTAAACTACACAGATACCATCCCTGGGGACTTCCAGGAGTTCAGCATGCAGCACGGCGTCGTCGACGGTCTCTAAGTATACAGAGAAAGACTGAAAGAGAGACCGTTTCTCCAGATGTGTTTGGAATGTACTGTACGTGGTGTGTGTGTGTACACAGTGGCAATACTGTATGTATGTGATCTGTTTCCATGTCTACATCCTTCCCCGTCAAAAATGGAATCAACTTGTCTTCATGAGTGTTATAATCAGTGTCCTCAGTGCTCTAAATGAGGACTACTAGAGTATGTATGTGATCTGTTTCCATGTCTACATCCTTCCCCGTCAAAAATTGAATCAACTTGTCTTCATGAGTGTTATAATCAGTGTCCTCAGTGCTCTAAATGAGGACTACTGGAGTAAAATACAATTATAGATTTTTTTAGGAAGTCGATTATAATCCATATCAAAAACTTTCAAATTTCATGCATATTACATTTCAAACTTAAAATTTCCTTCATTTTTTGAGCTCAAAGACAGCACAAACAGATCCGGGGCCAGGCCAACTTTCTTGACCCTGTGACCTCAGCCTCACCGGAGGCCTAGTCTTGACCAAGAGTTTTGTTATCAGTGGTTATCATGGCTCCTTAACAAAACTCTCTAGAGGCCAATGGAGAGCGATTTGAAAATGTTTCCCAAATAAACTCTACTCCTCTGCCCGGTTTAAGTCTTAGACGTAGGTGTTTGTAAGTTTAAAATTCATGTTGATTCTTTTATAAGTATAATGTTATCGACAAGAGAATTTCAAATAAACAGAAATGTTATAAGAGATATTGTATCGTGTTTGTTTTGGTCTTATTTATCAGCCTTATTGCATGTGTTTCTCCAGATTTTCATCAGCCAGTTTCTCAGTTCAAGTGGCCGAAAGAATTTGACCACGTTGTTATACATAAAGAGAAGTGAGGAAACAAGGATATTGACCTGTTGACCTAGTATTATTATTATTGGCGGTGACCGTGTGGCACGGGCATCCATAAGGTATGCTAATATATTTTTTAAAAACGAATCTAATCTCATTCCATAGTCACCCTCGTATTTTGGTCAGCAACACGTGACAACGGAGGGCCCTCCGAGCGAGTTGGTAGGGGCGAGGGGGTATGACAAGTTATTAGGCTATGGAACTTCAGTGATAACAAAGTTCTGAGCAACATTATGTGGCTTAATGTGGGAGTGCATTTTGATAGGCCTTCACCAAATGTGTCACTTAAGATCCTAAAAATACTATTCAGGAAAGAGTTTTAAATGGATTTAAGATTGTATTTTTAAGGTTTATTTCACAGATTAACTTTCTATCGTTGAAAAAAAGTTTCACCCCAGCATTGCTGCTCTTACATTCTTGCTCTTGCTGTATAACCCTTTTCATAAGACTCAAAACTACACGAGAAAATATTTCTTCTGAAGGCTCTATCAACAACAGAAAAAGCAACACAAAGCAGGTTTGAAAACAGTTCAGATACTCCTCTAGAATTTGGTCTTTGATCCTTGCACGCTATTGTCTCTCAGCCGTCACCTGCGGCTCCATCACAAAGTTCAAATTAAACTCTTGCTGTGAAACCCCCTCTCATACATTTTGTCCAAACTTGCGTAATAAAACAATGTAACCCCAGCCAAATGAACTGATCTTACCTGACTGTGTTGGTCTTTAGCTTTCATCATTGGATTTCACACACAGGGTTTGTGTCTGAATGAAATGGCATCCTATTACATTTACCAGACGCTCTTATCCAGAGCGACTTACAGTTAGTACATTATATATATATATATATTTTTTCATACTGGCCCCCCCCCGTGGGAATCGAACCCACAACCCTGGCGTTGCAAACGCCATGCTCTACCAACATCCCCTGCAGGCCATTCCCTCCCCTCCCCTACCCTGGACGAATTGTGCGCCGCCCCATGGGTCTCCCGGTCGCGGCCGGCTACGACAGAGCCTGGATTCGAACCAGGATCTCTAGTGGCACAGCTAGCACTGCGATGCAGCGCCTTAGACCACTGCGCCACTCGGGAGGCCAATATGGCCAATACGGCGCTGGTCAAAAGTAGTGCACTATGTAGGGATTAGGGTACAGTTTCAGACACACAGGATAAACCTCTATAAAAAGTGGAGCAGCGACAAACAGAACACAATGGATTGACCTATGATCTGTACTTTAGACTCAGCTATTCTCAGCAGCATGCACAGAATGCATGCTTACTTTACAGGGCTGATAGCCAGCAGCTCATAAAAGAGTTGTATGGAAATTGATTGATTTAGATTTTCAATAATGAATGATTTATGATCATCTAGGCTATTATACCAATGTGCTGACCTGTACGTAATTTCATCATGACAGATTTTGCAACTGGTTTCTGTGGAGTATCTCTGGTATGTTTCATCCCTTGTCAGACTGGTTTCCCAACACTAAAGGACATATAAGAGCCAACCAGCCACCAGACACTGAATATCTGAAACCAGCTGCAGAATGGTTTCACTCATAACACTCATTCAAGTATTGGAGTCATAGCCTCCCATTGCATTGTAGGATAGGCCAGGCCTACAGTACATATTCCCACATAAATGTAATTCATGGCTTGCACTCCCACGTAAATGTAATTCACGGCTTGCACTAAAACTAGATATCTCATTCAAAATGGCTCTAACTGCACACTATCTGCATTCTCCATTTTATCTATTTATTGGTCATGTAGGCATATCCAATGGATGGCCTATATATCATGCTGACAAAATACGTTTTGGGGAGAGTGCTCTTCAAAACAAGATTAGGGCCTCCTGTCTCCTTCCATTTCAGCCAGCACCACCCCCCTACTATCCCTTTACTACTTAATTTTTTAACTTGTCTGAAAGCCAAAGGACATGTGGATAGGTGAAAGCAACCATATTGAATGGCCATTGGCCAGGTGCAGCCATCAACATATTGCTTCCCAGTCCTTTCAGATGTGAAATCCCCAAATGGGTTAGAGAGAGAAGGGGGGGTAAAATGGACAGTTTGGAACCGGGTCAACATTTTTGCTAACCTGTTTATTATCAGTGAACTTTGCCCTCACTAACCTCTCAGCCAGTGTTCAACCACGCCCCTCCCGGTGAAAGGCCAACTGTGATTGGTTCAAACACCTGCACAACCCCGCCTCTCTCGGCTCTTCAGTTCTATTTAAACTTTAGGGTGAGTCTTTGAGGAACTCACCTGTCCCGGTCCCTTCTCAAGCAGCAGGACCACATCACGCGGCAAACCTGCTCAAAGAACCAGTAGAGTACGTCACCATGTCCGACCGGGGCGCATTCGATACTAATGTCGTTACCCTCACGAGATTCGTGCAGGAGGAGGGAAGGAAGGCGAAGGGAACGGGAGAACTGACAACCCTCCTCAACTCTATCTGCACGGCCGTCAAAGCTATCTCCACTGCTGTCAGGAAAGCTGGGATTGCCAACCTGTAAGTTTTTGTGCATCCGAAAGTAGCTAGGTGTTTATCCAATTGTTCCCGTGTGGCTCAGTTGGTAGAGCATGGCGCCTGCAAGGCAATGGTTGTGGGTTTGATTCACACAGGGGACCAGGACAGGGAAAAGTTCGGAAATGTGTGCACTCACTACTGTAAATCGCTCTGGATAAGAGCGTAAAATGGCGTCAGATTTTCATGCAAATATTCAAAAATCCGCATTAAGAACAATGTTTATTTTCCCACCAGAGATGTGTTTCCATCAAATTGACATGTTGCGGATAAAAGTCGGTGCGTGATGACATGCACATAAAAAATACATTTTGCTGTTGAATTCTCATGTAGGCTACCCAATGAAAAATAAAAGTTAAATGGGTTTCCATTGCATTTTCAATTCTACTGATGGTTTTCTCACTAATATATATATATATATAGCTGAGTGTGCCCACTGGTATTGGCACGTGCGCTCTAGCCAACAGCGCGCATATGATGATATTATAATTATTAGTAGTAGTATGGACAAAAGAGCGAGATGATAATGTTTTTGTCGAGCATCGATTATCATGCCGACACAAAAAGATCCCACCTTGTCTGGTGTATTTTGTTCTGTCGACCTTTGGAAAGTTTACTGGAAAATGTACTGTTTCCATCAGACCTGTCATTGCATTTTTTAGCCGCCATGTAACGTACTTTACTTGCATAAAAATGTTGGATGGAAACATGATTACTAACCACGTTTCCATCCAACCATTTCATGCGGATGAATTTGCGTAAGTGACGCATGAAACAAGTTAAGACCAGGCAGATGGAAACATTAAATGCCGGTACAATTTTATAAATGCAGAGAGACTATTTGTTCGTTTGACATGGTGGGATGTTTTTGTGTAGGTTGCTACAATTAATTATGGAAGAAATGGCGGGGGATACTCCTTAATGTGCAAATATTTATATAATAACCATCATATCGAAATACATTTGGAGTCACGCGATGATATGTTGTGATCCTCCCACTACAACTCGAGAAAGCATGCCGTTTTATTACATTTTAAGATTAAATCAATTATGATTAACTTCACAGGGTGGTGAATGTGCAAGGTGATGAGCTTGATGCTCCTTTCCGTCAATGCTTGGCTGCTGTTTGAGAAATAAAAATAATATTGATCTTATCTATAATAATCTCATAATTTAGGTAGCCTACCTGCACTGAATCAGCGAGCTGTTGGTTAAAGCGCATGTGCCAAGACCAGAGTGGGCACATTTTCTATATAATGCAACAGTTTTTGTGACAACCATCAGAGTTTAAAATGTGATGGAAACCCATTTAACTTGTATTTTTCATTTGGTACATGGGAATTTAAAGGCAAAGTTATTTTATGTGCATTGTCATTTTAAACACAGTCAGTTTGAAAATGTGCATGTTTTATGCAGATTTTTGAATTCACATAAAAATCTGTCGCAAATTGGATGGAAAACTAGCTAGTGGTATAGTCAGTCAGTGAAAGTTTTTGTCACATCATGTGTCACATTTATCAACTGAGCGCAGTAAGACGATCCTGATTGTCTGATCAACAAAGTGATGTTGTGGATTCTTATCCCCACTGTGCTATATGGTTACCACAAAGCACTGGCAATAGGTGAATGATTAAATAAATAGCATGGACCGTCCAACCACATGCCGGGTAGGGAGACTAATTCAAATATTTACCTAGTCGGATATTATGCCTGAGTCTGACAGTCCATCTAATCAGGTAATACTGTTGTCAACTTCGACTCGGGTCAATGTCCACCAGTTTATCTATCTTTGGACACGAGATGTTGTTATTTTCATAAATGCAAGCCAGGGCTATTGCAATGCAGTAGGCTACTCACAAATCTTGCATTTATTTCCTCTTGAGACATGTCCATTGTCCTCATTAGGAGGAAGTATAGGCCTATTACCTGTTTATCAGGAATTTGTTGATAGTCCTCCATTGTCTGGAATTTCCTTGATGACTGACAATCAGTGAAGGCCTAAAGATGGGATCACTTTCTGTGCCCTGTGAGTTCTACCAGAGACTTCATGCCCACTGACACAGAGCAGTGGCCTCTTCAATGCCACCCTCCATCATAGAAAAACTTTACCCTTGTCCGTCTCTCCCTCCTTCCAATTGTTACAGAAATAGGCCTACTGTAGTGATATTACTACTCACATGTCTGCCCCCTGCCCATCTCTCTCTCCCTCCTTCTCTTCCTTCTCTCTCTTTCTCTCTCCTCCTCTCTCCCTCCCCTCCAGCTATGGCATTGCTGGGAGCACCAATGTGACCGGTGACCAGGTGAAGAAACTGGATGTTCTGTCCAATGACCTGGTCATCAACATGATCAAGTCCTCTTTCACCTCCTGTGTCCTGGTGTCAGAGGAGAACGAGAGGGCCGTCATTGTGGAGCCAGAGAAACAGGTATGTGTGTGTGTGGCTCAGATTGAAGTTGAGGTATGTCTTGTGACATCAATGTGACAATGTCCTTTTATTTTTTACAGGGAAAATATATTGTGTGCTTCGACCCACTGGATGGCTCGTCAAACATTGACTGTCTTGTATCAATTGGAACCATTTTTGCCATCTACAGAAAGGTTGGTAATTATTTTGTTGCTGGTGTTTTATTATTCCTCTACGGAAGTTGTTCAAACAAAATACTAAGTCCGTTTGAACAAGTTATTATCTTGTTTGAATGACTTAATTGGTATTTTGTCTAATTAAGCATAATTTGTTATGCAGCTTGTCAGACCGTGTAATGGTTGCTGCAGCCATCCATTTGTATTTATTATGGATCCCCATTAGCTTCTGCCATGGCAGCAGCTACTCTTCCTGGGGTCCAGCAAAATTAAGGCAGTTATACAATTTTAAAAACATAATACATTCACAACAGATTTCACAACACATCACTGATTCCATGATTATTCATTGACGGTTCTTTGATAGCCTAAAGCAGGGCTGCTTCTGAATGCCAGAACATGTAAGTGGGCAAGTGTGGAGTGAGGAGCAGAGCGTAAATCGAGCAGATCCTGCTCCAATTTCGCTGAGGTACTGCTCAACCACAAGGTCTGGGTATGTTCTGCCTAGCATTTTTCATTTCCTTTATCACTATTCTTTTAATTACAGTGACCCTATCCACAGTAGCCTATATCAAGTTTATATTCTACTTTCTAACATTCGGATATGTCGTTTCTATTTTGAAGGACTTCAAATGTATAAACAGATGTTTTAAGTAGGCAATACATAGGCGACTGTCAAATGTATTTGAGTTTTTCTTGGAATAGAATCACCATAATATCAATCAATTTAATTAAGCTAAAATATCAGAAATAGATTTACATTGGAGTCATTTAGCAGACGCTCTTATCCAGAGCGACTTGCAATCGTCTTAAGATGGCTTCAACCACATGTCATAGTATACATTTTTCTCTCTCAATAAAGTAACTATCAGCAAAGTCAGAGCTAGTAAGAGGGAAAAGAGTCAAGTACGAGTGTTAGTTCACAAAAGGCTTTTTTTCGGGGGGGGTTGTCGTTTTTGACAGAGGGGTAGAGTGTTGGTTTCTTGAGGAGGGGAGCAACTGGGCCATTTTGAAGTCAGAGGGGATGCAGCCAGTGGTCAGGGATGAGTTGATGAGGGATATGAGGAATAGAAGGTCTCCAGAGATGGTCTGAAGGAGGGGATGGGGTCAAGCGTGCAGGTTGTCGGGCAGCCGAACCTCACTAGTCAAAGGACTTCATCTGGAGAGAGAAGGGAGAAAGAGGTCAAGGCGTAGGGTAGATCTGTGTGAGTGAGACCGGTAGATTCAATAGGCTAAGTGAATGAGGAGCGGCTGTCATCAACCTTCTTTTCAAAGTGGGTGGAGGCTTAAGGAGGGAGGAGAAGGTGGAAAATAGTTTCTTAGGGTTAGAGGCAGAAGCTTGACATCTAGAGTGATAGAAAGTGGCTTTAGCAGCGGATACAGAGGAAGAGAAGGTAGAGAGGAGGGAATGAAAGGATGATAGGTCTTCCGGAAGTTTAGTTTTCCTCAGCTGACCGCAGCCCTGTTCTTTAAGCTCGCATTGAGTCACTCAGCCAAGGAGCAGGAGGGGAGAGCCGGCCGGGAGGAAAGGGGGCAGTGCGAGTCATAGGATGCGGAATGGGAGGTTGGTAGGGTCGAAGAGGCAGAATCAGAAGGGAGGGATTTAGCAGAAGGGAGAGATAATAGGATAGAAGAAGTGAGAATAGTGGGAGAGAGCGAAGATTGCGACGGCGCATGAGATTAGTAGGCGAACAGCCTCTAGTAAAGATGAGGTCAAGTGTATTGCCTGCCTTGTGAGTGGAAAGGGTGAGGTCAAAAGAGGCAAGGAGGGGAAAGAAATGGAAATAAATTAATCGAAGGCAGATGTCAGGAGGTTGAAGTTGCCCAGTACGAAGAGCGGTGTGCATCGTCAGGAAATGAGCTTATTAAGGTGTGAAGTCCCCTGTAGCTCAGTTGGTAGAGCATGGCGCTTGCAACGCCAGGGTTGTGGGTTCGTTTCCCACGGGGGGCCAGTATGAAAATGTATGCACTCACTAACTGTAAGTCGCTCTGGATAAGAGCGTCTGCTAAATGACTAAACATTTTTTAAAATGAAGCTCATTGACAAACTCTCGAAGGGCACCTTGTGGGCGATAGATGACAACAATGTTAAGCTTGAGTGGACAAGTGACCGTGACAGCATGGAATTCAAATGAGGAGATGGACAGGTAAGGGAGTAAAGAGAAAATCTCCACTTAGGAGAAGTGAGCAGCACTGTGCCACCATGGCAACGACCAGATGCTCTCAGACTATGAGAGAAAACATAGGCAGGTGAAAAGAGAGCAGCTGGAGTAGCAGTGTCCTCTGGGGTGATCCAGGTGTCCGTCAGGGCAGCATAGGCTGAGATGAACTCTGCGTTCTTGACCGCAGATCGGCAGTTCCAAATGCTGCTGGAGACCAGGAATTCCACATGGGTTGTGCATGCCTGGTACACTAAATTAGAAGGGTTGCAGCCAAGGGGTGGGGAGTGAACATGGATAGAAAACATGCACATAGTTGCCAAAGCTACAAAAGAGCAAAATGAGATCAGAAAATAACTACGTAAGATACTCAAGTGGAGCCTTCCTTTCCTTCCTCGAATAACTCGGCATATGTCACCAATTGCCATTCCAAAAGGAATCGTATTTTTTTGTTGTTGTAGGGAATTTTTTTGGACATATCTTTTACCTAATGGTGGCGCTCTAAACATGCTCAAATTCCTGTATGAACACAGCCATTTTAAAAGCGTAGTGCTTGAACACAGCCTTTATTTTCTGTCTTACAGGAATGATATAGGTACATATGAGGAGAAAGCTGAAGTCGTAACCTTTTCACTGATGTAATCAGATCTTGTCTGATTTCGAGTTTGCCCACTAGAAGATCACATGACGTGACTTTGCCACTTGAAAGCAGATGTGTCTGTCTGGTTTGATCGGTTTTGAGTAGTACCTCACTTTGCGGAAATAACACACACATTAAAATTGTTCCCATTGGAAACGAGAGAGAGATGCATTCAAGGTAATGTCATATTAAATGTGTATGGAAAATAAATGGATTACATTACGACGACCACCAGGGTGTACCCTTTCCATGCATACAACATTTTTGTACTTTTGGTGACTTGATAGTCAGTCTGATTTGCGCCTAATATGTATTATTTTGTATATATTTTCTGTAAACAGTTCACTAAAGTTTATTGCACCGTACTGGCCGCCTACAAAACAATTTGCACAATAGACACTAAGAAATATCAAAACTGTTGAGAAATACAGTTGCATCGACACACGGGAGCAGTTCAATGTATTTTTCAATTTTAGGCTTTTCAAATATTCCTTTCTATTGTTTATATTATGGCTATATTCCCATTAATATCCCTTTTATGTAATTAAGCTTTTACGTGTCTTTTTATTATAATAATAAAAACATGTTTAGAGCGCATTTCCCACACTCAATGCACATGTGAAACTTGTTGTTGCCTGCTTCTGTGCGCAAATCATTTGGCTGCAGTTTGAGATGAGTTATTCCCTTTTATTTATGAAAATAAGCTGATACTGGCCTTTATTATTCAAGATGATTTATGATATTTTAGTTTAATTATATTGATTTATTTTATGGTGTTTCTATTCAAAGAATATTCATTTTACAGTAGCCTATGTATTGCTTACCTAAAACATCCATTAATACATTTGAAGTCCTTCAAAATAAACGACATATCCTAATGTTAGAAAGTACAATATAAACTATACAGAACAAAAATATAAACGCAACACAAATACTAGGCAGAGCATGCCCAGAGCTTGTGGCTGAGCAGTACCAGAGCGAAATTGGAGCGGGAGAGAAGGCCAACACCATTTTTTTTAAAGGCCTTTGCTACGGATATGGAGTTTTCATCCATGTCCGCCCCAGCCCACCCCTCCGGAAACCTATTTCTTAAAGCTAAGGATCCGGATCACGTCCTACGCATTTATTTTATGCATACATTTGTTTTTCTAACGTAGCCGCTGCTTACATTCCCGCTCCCTTCACGTTTCGCTCTTTACTCACCCTATTCTGAACTGTGATGTAGCCTATGTCTCTGCCTCATATTTCTGAAAAGCTGAAATAAAAACCCAGCAGCGATTTGAACGAACATTCCAAAAGTATTCACACCCCTTGACTTTTTCTACATTTTGGTGTGTTACAACCTAAATTTAAAATATTAAATTGAGATTTTGTGTCACAGGCCTACACACAGTACCCCATAATGTAAAAGTGGAATTATGTTTGTAGACATTTTTACAAATTAATTAAAATTGAAAGCTGAAATGTCTTGCGTCAAAAAGTATTCAATTCCTTTGTTATGGCAAGTCTAAATAAGTTCAGGAGTAAACATTTTCTTAGCACGGAACATAAGTTGCATGGACTCACTCTGTGTGCAATAATAGTGTTAACTTTATTTTTGAATGACTACCTCATCACTGTACCCCACACATACAATTATCTGTAAGGTCCCTCAGTCGAGCAGTGAATTTCAAACACAGATTCAACCACAGACCAGGGAGGTTTTCCAATGCCTCACAAAGAAGGGCACCTATTGCTAGATAGATAAATAAAAAGTTATGAATTACTTTGGATGGTGTATCAATACACCCAGTCAGTACAAAGATACAGGCGTCCTTCCTAACTCAGTTGCCGGAGAGGAAGGAAACCGCTCAAGGAAACCGCTCGGGGATTTCACCATGAGGCCAATGGTGACTTTAAAACAGTTACAGAGTTGAATGGCTGTGATAGGAGAACTGAGGATGAATCAACAACATTGGAGTTACTCCACAACACTAACCTAAATGACAGTGAAAAGAAGGAAGCCTGTACAGCATAAAAATATTCCAAAACATGCATCCTGTTTGCAATAAGGCACTAAATTAAAACTGCTAAACATTTGGCTAAGAAATAAATTATGTCCTGAATACAAAGCATTAAGTTTGGGGCAAACGCAACACATCACTGAGTACCACTCTTCATATTTTCAAGCATGGTGGTGGCTGCATCATGTTATGGGTATGCTTGTCATCGGCAAGGACTAGAGTTTATTTTAGGATAAAAAGAAACGGAATAGAGTTAAGCACAGGCAAAATCCTAGAGGAAAACCTGGTTCAGTCTGCTTTCTAACAGACACTGGGAGAAAAATTAACCTTTCAGCAATAACCTAAAACACAAGGCCCCAAGACGACATTGAATGTTCCTGAGTGGCCTAGTTAGAGTTGACTTAAATTGGCTTGAAAATCTATGGCAAAACTGGAAAATGGCTGTCTAGCAATGATCAACAACCAACTTGACCGAGCATGAAGAATAAAAAAAGAATAATATGCAAATATTGTACAATCCAGGTGTGCAAAGCTCTTAGACTTACCCAGAAAGACTCTCAGCTGTAATCGCTGCCAAAGATGATTCTAACATGTATTGACTCAGGGGTGTGTATCCTTATGTAAATGAGATTTCTGTATTTAATTTTCAATTTAGTACATTTTGTGTCAATTTAATCAATTTTGAATTCTGGCTATAACACAACAATATGTGGAATAAGTCAAGGGGTATGAATACTTTCTGAAGGCACTGTATATTATGAAGGCTACAACCTTCTCTGTCTGTTGTAACGGATATTGCAGTTGCACAAGCAGGACGCAGTCCCTACACTTTGGGCACATTTTGTGTGATGTAGGCTAATCATTATAGTTGCTGCCGAATCTTAGTTCTTGATAAAAGAACACTACTTGACTGCATGTCTGTCTCCTGTGCAGCTTAGCCAATGTTTGTAATGAAGATGAAAAAAGAACATTCAATCACTAATTAGACTGCGTGTCTGTGTCTTGCTGCATTCCACCTCTGGGCAGCCGAACGTTCATGTATCCAGACCGGTAAAAGGAGTCTGACAATGGGCGAGTTCATTTTGCATCACCTGATGCTATAGTTATGCCATATACAGTGGGGAGAACAAGTATTTGATACACTGCCGATTTTGCAGGTTTTCCTACTTACAAAGCATGTAGAGGTCTGTAATTTTTATCATAGGTACACTTCAACTGTGAGAGACGGAATCTAAAACAAAAATCCAGAAAATCACATTGTACAGAAACCTTTGTTTGCAATTACAGAGATCATACGTTTCCTGTAGGTCTTGACCAGGTTTGCACACACTGCAGCAGGGATTTTGGCCCACTCCTCCATACAGACCTTCTCCAGATCCTTCAGGTTTCGGGGCTGTCGCTGGGCAATACGGACTTTCAGCTCCCTCCAAAGGTTTTCTATTGGGTTCAGGTCTGGAGACTGGCTAGGCCACTCCAGGACCTTGAGATGCTTCTTACGGAGCCACTCCTTAGTTGCTCTGGCTGTGTGTTTCGGGTCGTTGTCATGCTGGAAGACCCAGCCACGACCCATCTTCAATGCTCTTACTGAGGGAAGGAGGTTGTTGGCCAAGATCTCGCGATACATGGCCCCATCCATCCTCCCCTCAATACGGTGCAGTCGTCCTGTCCCCTTTGCAGAAAAGCATCCCCAAAGAATGATGTTTCCACCTCCATGCTTCATGGTTGGGATGGTGTTCTTGGGGTTGTACTCATCCTTCTTCTTCCTCCAAACACTCCGAGTGGAGTTTAGACCAAAAAGCTATATTTTTGTCTCATCAGACCACATGACCTTCTCCCATTCCTCCTCTGGATCATCCAGATGGTCATTGGCAAACTTCAGACGGGCCTGGACATGCGCTGGCTTGAGCAGGGGGACCTTGCGTGCGCTGCAGGATTTTAATCCATGACGGCTTAGTGTGTTACTAATGGTTTTCTTTGAGACTGTGGTCCCAGCTCTCTTCAGATCCCTCACCTTCCTCATGATCATTGATGCCCCACGAGGTGAGATCTTGCATGGAACCCCAGACCGAGGGTGATTGACCGTCATCTTGAACTTCTTCCATTTTCTAATAATTGCGCCAACAGTTGTTGCCTTCTCACCAAGCTGCTTGCTTATTGTCCTGTAGCCCATCCCAGCCTTGTGCAGGTCTACAATTTTATCCCTGATGTCCTTACACAGCTCTCTGGTCTTGGCCATTGTGGAGAGGTTGGAATCTGTTTGATTGAGTGTGTGGACAGGTGTCTTTTATACAGGTAACGAGTTCAAACAGGTGCAGTTAATACAGGTAATGAGTGGAGAACAGGAGGGCTTCTTAAAGAAAAACTAACAGGTCTGTGAGAGCCGGAATTCTTACTGGTTGGTAGGTGATCAAATACTTATGCAATAAAATGCAAATTAATTACTTAAAAATCATACAATGTGATTTTCTGGATTTTTGTTTTAGATTCTGTCTCTCACAGTTGAAGTGTACCTATGATAAAAATTACAGACCTCTACATGCTTTGTAAGTAGGAAAACCTGCAAAATCGGCAGTGTATCAAATACTTGTTCTCTCCACTGTATACTCCCCTTTATTACTTTTCAACCCCGCCATCCTTTCCCTACTTCGGGTAAATTAGTGAACAACAATGCTTAGGCCTCTACTTCCAGCTTATACGTACTATCTACATTTTATGGACACAGTCAATTTTACAATAATTCAATTTTATTTGTTTTTGCTCCTGAACTTCTTCTACTCTCAACCTCTCCGATCATTTTCATGATGTCCATCCGGTTTGCTTCTATATGCCATATCTTTCTAACTGTGCTCTTTCCCAAAAGCTCCCAACATACAACCTATATACTTATTATGGACACAGTATGCTTACATTATTAGTTATCTTGTTATTATTTATTGTTATTTGTTATTAGTCCCATCCTTCAACTCCATTCAACACCTCCCATCTATCTGTTAACACCATCCATATAGGATTTCTATTTGCCATATATATTTCAACTGTGATGTTTTACAAAAGTTCTGAACCTTTCTATTCTCATTGCTTCTACAGATTGTGAATTAAAAATAAACATTTTTGCTAAAAGTATTATTATATTATTGATCGATTGACTATGACTTTTCAGATCACCCAGTAATGCTATCTGCAAGGTTAGCCTTGACTTTTTTCAGATTTTGTTACGTTACAGCCTTATTCTAAAATTGATTAGATTGATGAGGAGGAAAAAAACAATCTACACACAATACCCCATAATGACAAAGCAAAACCAGGTTTTTTGAAATGTTTGCTAATTTATAAAATAAACATAAATTAACATAAGTATTCAGACCCTTTACTCAGTACTTTGTTGAAGCACCTTTGGCAGCGATTACAGCATTGAGTCTTCTTGGGTATGAAGCTACAAGCTTGGCACATCTGTATTTGGGGAGTTTCTCCCATTCTTCTCTGCAGATCCTCTCAAGCTCTGTCAGGTTGGATAGGGAGCGTTGCTGCACAGCTATTTTCTGGTCTCTCCAGAGATGTTGGATCGGTTTCAAGTCCGGGCTCTGGCTTTGGCCACTCAAGGACATTCAGAGACTTGTCCCGAAGCCACTCCTGCGTTGTCTTGGCTGTGTGCTTAGGGTTGTTGTCCTGTTGGAAGGTGAACCTTCGCCCCAGTCCGAGGTCCTGTGCGCTCTGGAGCAGGTTTTCATCAAGCCGCTGAAAAACATCCCCACAGCATGATGCTGCCACCACCATGCTTCACCGTAGGAATGGTGCCAGGTTTCCTCCAGACGTGACGCTTGGCATTCAGGCCAAAGAGTTCAATCTTGGTTTCATCAGACCAGAGAATATTATTTCTCATGGTCTGAGAGTCTTTAGGTGCCTTTTGGCAAACTCAGAGCGGGCTGTCGTGCCACTCTACCATAAAGGCCTGCTTGGTGGAGTGCTGCAGAGATGGTTGTCCTTCTGGAAGGTTCTCCCATCTCCACAGAGGAACTCTGGAGCTCTGTCAGAGGGACCATCGGGTTCTTGGTCACCTCCCAAGGCCCTTGTCCCCCGATTGCTCAGTTTGGCCGGGCGTCCAGCTCTAGGAGGAGTCTTGGTGGTTCCAAACTTCTTCCATTTAAGAATGATGGAGGCCACTGTGTTCTTGGGGACCTTCAATGCTGCAGAAATATTTTGCTACCCTTACCCAGATCTGTGCCTCTACACAATCCTGTCTCGGAGCTCTACGGACAATTCCTTTGACCTCATGGCTTGGTTTTTGCTCTGACATGCACTGGCAACTGTGGGACCTTTATATAGGCAGGTGTGTGCCTTTCCAAATCATGTCCAATCAATTGAATTTACCACAGGTGTACTCCAATCAAGTTGTAGAAGCATCTCAAGGATGATCAATGGAAACAGGTTGCACCTGAGCTCAATTTCGAGTCTCATAGCAAAGGGTCTGAATACTTATGTAAATAAGGTATTTTTGTTTTTTAATTTTAATACATTTGCAAAAACTTCTAAACCTGTTTTTGCTTTGTCATTATGTTTTTTTTTAAATTTTTTTTAATCCATTTTAGAATAAGGCTGTAATGTAACAAATGTGGAAAAAGTCAAGGGGTCTGAATACTTTCCGAAGGCATTCTATATTCTCTCTCGGATGTTCCGTAACTGTTCCACACTTGTTTCATTCTTAGACACTTTGTTTCAGTCTGTCACACCAGTGTGCCAGTTTCTACTGTAGTTATGCTGAAATATGAACTTTACTGTTTCACTGTTCTTCTGTTATTTTTGGTAAAAACTATCCACATGTTTGTCTCCCAGACAACAGATGATGAGCCCAATGAGAAGGACGCGCTGCAGTCTGGACGTCACATCGTTGCTGCCGGTTATGCCCTCTACGGCAGCGCCACCATGATGGTGCTCTCCACAGGTCAAGGGGTCAACTGCTTCATGCTCGACCCTGTAAGTTCCATATCAAACTTAGGGGTCAACTGCTTCATGCTCAACCCTGTAAGTTCCAAATCAAACTTAGGGGTCAACTGCTTCATGCTCAACCCTGTAAGTTCCAAATCAAACTTAGGGGTCAACTGCTTCATGCTCAACCCTGTAAGTTCCAAATCAAATCAAACTTAGGGGTCAACTGCATCATGCTCAACCCTGTAAGTTCCAAATCAAACTTTAAAAGTGCATTTAAAAATGGCAACGCACTACAGTAAAACTATAAATGGAATAGATAAACAAACAAGAAACGGCAATAAAATAGGTGAATAAAAGAACATAAACACAAACGTCTAAATCCACTAAAGCCAAAGCAGAGACACAGGAGAGGTGCACTTCATTGACTTATAGTTAATCCATGAGGTGCTCTTCCATCATGGGATGAATTACTATAGAACAAAAATAAGTCGATGCTGGATAGTAAACAAAGCCTTTATGCAAACAAACTTCCAGAAGTAATCAAGGCACTCTCATGTAGTGGAAAAAAAGTCAATGAAGTTGCTGAGTCAGGTCCCTGTTCTGTTTGTTTAGTCGATTGGGGAGTTTATCCTGACAGATAAGGACGTGAAGATCAAGAAGAGGGGGAAGATCTACAGTCTGAACGAAGGCTATGCTCAGCACTTCTACCCAGACATCACAGAATACCTGAAGAAGAAGAAATATCCAGAGGTAATTTACTAACTAAACACCTGAAAGGGCTTACACTGTAATTCTGAACCACTTACTCTTTGGGTACTATGAAGTGACTAATGCAGTTAATGAAATATGCCTGATGTGGTTGTCTTACTTACTTTTAAATGCACCTATTGTAAGTCGCATTGGATAAGACCGTCAGCTAAATGACTAAAATGTGAAATTACATGTCTGTGACTGAAACTGTGACTACTTCAGTTATTGAATTATTACTAACTGTATATTGCTTTTTGTTTCCAGGATGGGAGTGTCCCCTATGGTGGGCGTTATGTTGGCTCCATGGTGGCTGATGTGCACAGGACTTTGGTGTACGGAGGAATCTTCTTATACCCTGCCAATGTCAAGAGCCCCAAGGGCAAGGTGAGTGAGGCAGAACTCTTCAGTTCATATACATTTTATATCTACTTAGAATTTGTTATATATTACCGTTCAAAAGTTTGGGGTCACTTAGAAATGTCCTTGTTTTTGAAAGAAAAGCAATTTTTTTGTCAATTTTAAAATAACATCAAATTGATCAGAAATACAGTGTAGACATTGTTAAATGTTGTAAATGGCTATTGTAGCTGGAAACGGCTGATTTTTAATGGAATATCTACATAGGCGTACAGAGGCCCATTATCAGCAACCATCAATCCTGTGTTCCATGTTGTTTGCTAATCCAAGTTTATCATTTTGAAAGGCTAATTGATCATTTTGAAAACCCTTTTGCAATTATGTTAGCACTGCTGAAAACTGTTGTGCTGATTTAAAGAAGCAATAAAACTGGCCTTCTTCGGACTAGTTGAGTATCTGGAGCATCAGCAATTGTGGGTTCGATTACAGGACAAAATGGCCAGAAACAAATAACTTTCTTCTGAAGCTCGTCAGTCTATTCTTGTTCTGAGAAATGAAGGCTATTCCATTCGAGAAATTGCCATGAAACTGAAGATCTCGTACAACGCTGTGTACTACTCCCTTCACAGAACAGCGCAAACTGGCTCTAACCAGAATAGAAAGAGGAGTGGGAGGCCCCGGTGCACAACTGAGCAAGAGGACAAATACATGAGTGTCTAATTTGAGAAACAGATGCCTCACAGGTCCTCAACTGGCAGCTTCATTAAATAGTACCCGCAAAACACCAGTCTCAACGTCAACAGTGAAGAGGCAACTCCGGGATGCTGACCTTCTAGGCAGAGTTGCAAAGAAAAAGCCATATCTGACTAAAAATAAAATATTAAGATGGGCAGTCTGAGATTCTAATGATCAATTAGCCTTTTAAAATGATAAACTTGGATAAGAAAACACAACGTGCCATTGGAACACAGGACTGATGGTTGCTGATAATGGGCCTCTGTACATCTATGTAGATATTCCATTAAAAATCAGCCGTTTCCAGCTACAATAGCTATTTACAACATTATCAATGTCTACATTGTATTTCTGATCAATTTGATGTTATTTTAATGGACCAAAAAATGTGTAAGTGATCCCAAACTGTTGAACATGTATGTATGTTAGAAGTAACCAGAAGTAGAGTGCTGGCTGTGCCCAAACAATCAATGACAAAAGGTAGTATGAACTAGACCATTTCTCCATATATTGAAGTGACTAACCATCGTCTCTCTTCCACCCCATCCTGTGTAGCTGAGGCTACTGTACGAGTGCAACCCCATGTCTTTCATCATCGAGCAGGCTGGAGGCATGGCCACCACGGGGGAGGTTAATGTCCTGGACATCCAGCCAGAGAACATCCACCAGAGAGTCCCTGTGGTCCTGGGCTCCCCTGAAGACGTCCAGGAGTACATCGCCATCTACAAGAGGACACGCATGTGAGACTGTGCTGGAGCCTTCTATGGATCCACCATGACCTGCTTGTCCACGAAGGTCAACCTTTGACCTGACCCTGAGCTAGTAATCTTTGTATCATATGAATGGAGCTGTGGATGTACAGTGTATGTAATGTATGTTATGTATGTATGTCACACACTACCGTTCAAAAGTTTGGGGTCACTTAGAAATGTCCTTGTTTTCCATGAAAACATACATGAAATGACTTTGAATAGGAAATATAGCAAAATGAATAGGAAATGTAGTCATTGACAAGGTTAGAAATAATGATTGTGTCCTTCAAACTTTGCTTTTGTCAAAGAATCCTCCATTTGCAGCAATTACAGCCTTGCAGACCTTTGGCATTCTAGTTGTCAATTTGTTGAGGTAATCTGAAGAGATTTCACCCCATGCTTCCTGAACCAACTCCCACAAGTTGGATTGGCTTGATGGGCACTTCTTACATACCATACAGTCAAGCTGCTCCCACAACAGCTCAATAGGGTTGAGATCCGGTGACTGTGCTGGCCACTCCATTATAGACAGAATACCAGCTGACTGCTTCTTCCCTAAATAGTTATTGCATAGTTTGGAGCTGTGCTTTGGGTCATTGTCCTGTTGTAGGAGGAACTTGGCTCCAATCAAGCGCCGTCCACAGGGTATGGCATGGCGTTGCAAAATGGAGTGATAGCCTTCCTACTTCAAGATCCCTTTTACTCTGTACAAATCTCCCACTTTACCACCACCAAAGCACCCCCAGACCATCACATTGCCTCCACCATGCTTGAGAGATGGCATCAAGCACTCCTCCAGCATCTTTACATTTTGTCTGCGTCTCACAAATGTTCTTCTTTGTGATCCGAACATCTCAAACTTCGATTCGTCTGTCCATAACACTTTTTTCCAATCTTCCTCTGTCCAGTGTCTGTGTTCTTTTGCACATCTTAATCATTTCTTTTTATTGGCCAGTCTGAGATATGGCTTTTTCTTTGCAACTCTGCCTAGAAGGTCAGCATCCCGGAGTCACCTCTTCACTGTTGACGTTGAGACTGGTGTTTTGCAGGTACTATTTAATGAAGCTGTCAGTTGAGGAACTGTGAGGCGTCTGTTTCTCAAACTAGACACTCTAATGTATTTGTCCTCTTGCTCAGTTGTGCACCGGGGCCTCCCACTCCTCTTTTCTATTCTGGTTAGAGCCAGTTTGCGCTGTTCTGTGACGGGAGTAGTACACAGCGTTGTACGAGATCTTCAGTTTCTTGGCAATTTCTCGCAAGGAATAGACTTCATTTCTCAGAACAAGAATAGACTGACGAGTTTCAGAAGAAAGTTATTTGTTTCTGGCCATTTTGAGCCTGTAATCGAACCCACAATTGCTGATGCTCCAGATAATCAACTAGTCTCAAGAAGGCCAGTTTTTATATTGCTTCTTTACTCAGTACAACAGTCTTCAGCTGTGCTAACATAATTGCAAAAGGGTTTTCTAATGATCAATTAGCCTTTTTTAAATGATAAACTTGGATTCGCAAACACAACGTGCCATTGGAACACAGGACTGATGGTTGCTGATAATGGGCCTCTGTACGCCTATGTACATATTCCATTAAAAATCAGCCGTTTCAAGCTACAATAGCCATTTACAACATTTAACAATGTCTACACTGTATTTCTGATCAATTTGATGTAATTTTCTGTCCATTAAAATAACTTTTCTTTTGAAAACAAGGACATTTCTAAGTGACCCCAAACTTTTGAACGGTAGTGTTTGTGTGTGTATGTATGTATGTCTCATGCCCAGTTTAGAAGTTGAGGTGATTTGTTGATCAGATAAATGGTGGAGTGCTTTTCTCCGGCTGATCCTTGTGAACAAGCAGAGTAGTAATTTACCTCCCATCTGACCAACCAGATCTGGGACAAAATATACTTCAGGGGGAGAGAGTAGGGGGGGGGGGGGGGGGGGTCTTTCAATGACCTGGGCCTACATCTTAATAGTTGAAAGTTGCTTTCCCTATTCGTTTCTCCTTCTATAACTGTGCTGATCTAGCAAGACAGGATAGGGGAAAGAGGAGAGGAGTCCAATTTAGATGATTGGGATGCAACCCCCACCCCAGCATCTTATTTACGTCATTTAGCAGACGCTCTTATCCAGAGCGACTTACAAATTGGTTTGGATCCCTAAACTGAGAGACCCCTCATGGACAAATATTAGGCCTACCTCAGCCTCATTATGTAGTGTATATTGTGGGATTGTTGTGTCATTTGCACTGGTGGACCTAAAATATGTTTTGAATAAAACCCAGTGTTAAAATCCCTCCACTTGTTGTCCATGTTGTGTTGCTGACCCACTAGCAGGGGGACGTATTACTCCTTCATAGGCATACAGCATATTAGTGTGTCAAACCATGAGAAACTGGTATCTAATATTATCAACACCAGGTGGTGTAGTGGTAATTCTTTGCTCTCAGTTCTCAATCCCAAAATAATCTCAGACTATACTCATTTGTGGTGGGTGCAAAAGAAAACAGTAGGTTATAAAAAAAACAAAAAATGTAGAGTAGGCCTACTCGGGTAATAACAATTATACCACAGCTATGTATGTTGTCTATCATGTTAATTTGTTTATAATTGGTTTATGTTGTACATTATAGCAATTTCTTCAGGGAAGTTAAACAAAGGCCAAAAATACATTTTTTTTTTAAAGAAGTGAAACTGACGACTAAAACTGGACGTGGCTTGCCATGACGAGGCTTGGCACATGATTCTAGATTACACAATATAACACACACATAACTCTACTATGCTACACGCTCCGTCAGCTGACCGAAGCCAAACCGCGTCATCCTGGGGCCCAGGTGATGAGGTTGTGGTCATATAGCCCTGCATCTGGCAAGGTAAAAGAGGAAAACCTTTAATCCAGTAAGAGGAACCATGACACTGTAGAAGAGCGGGAAGAGCGCATTCAGGAGGACAGCGTGTGCTCTCTTGTGTTCTCTTTAGCATGATTAGTCATGAAGCTGAACAAGCAGAACCCATACCCTGTGACAAGCGATCATCACAACGCTGTTGAAAAGCCAGACCAGAGGAAGTAGGCCTGTCAGGACAATGCCTATCGTAGTCATCATGTAAGCCTATTATCAGCCTATGAATGTGTGATGATGACAAAGTATTCAAATAGGGGCCCTGTTACCAAGGTGTTGTTGATCTTGCTATACAAATTAGGTTTATGAGTTACTTAGTACCTTACTAGACGATAAGATAAAATCCTATCTTCTCTCAGGTGCTTTCATGTACAACATTACAATGCATGTATGTTCCTTGTGTTGCAAAGGTATGGCTAGTATTTACCAAGTGCCATTCTCTGGCAAGCGAGACTAGCGTAAAAAGGTCTGTAAATGGTGAGGAAGGAGAGTGTATTGGTATTGGGTAAGAAGAAAAAAAACATTCAGGATAGCATATAGCCTTTTCCCCTTAGTCATTTCCCCTAGACAAGACGTTGTCAGTCAATCGCATGACATCGTGAAAACCACAAAATACCAGCTCTGTTTTGCTATTACAAATACGTCCAAACAAACATTATAGTCGTATTAATCAGGTGATGTCATAATAAATGTTGTGATCAAAACTACTTGATGACATAACCATTTACATACTACTTTAAGTTTGAATTATACAGTCTTACATTTCTCTCACTCTTTCATTTGTTCTTGAATGTATTCAGTTCAAATACAGTAGAGCATAATCTCTCATTCATGTGAATGGAGTGTTCTCCCCATGGAGCCCCAGAATACATTGAATGGGAAACGTGGGTGCATCTTGAATGGTGAGCTGTTTGGGGGAGTGGTTGCTGCTTACTTTATGAGTATGACGAGAGGCTGCATAAGTATCAGTGTCCTGCATAAAAAACAGGTATATCAAAGGCTGTTGCTCTGGCTCTTAGCTGTAATATACTTTACTAGATCCATAATGTTCCGGAGCCAAATGAATAAACTAATAAAATGAAGTGTTCAATTATCCTTGCTACACATTTGTGACTTTCTCAACCTTATAAATGTGTGTGTGTGTATGGACATGTTTAACTATACTTGTGGGGACCAAAAGTCCCCACAAGAATAGTAAACAAACACAAATTTGACCAACTGGGGACATTTTGTTAGTCCCCACATGGAAAAAGGCTGTTTCTAGGGGGTTAAGGTTAGAATTAGAGTTAGGGGTTTAAGGTTGGGGTTAGGTTTAGGTTTAGGGTTAGGGAAAATAGGATTTGGAATGGGAATCATTTGTGTGTCCCGACAAGGTTAGTTAAACGTGAGTGTGTGTGTCTGTGTGTGTGTGTCGTTGAACAGAATGTCCTAAAGATCCTCTAACGACCCTGAGATTGGAAGGCTCTTGTCCCAGCATGACCGTACAGCACCTTTACTCAACAAACACTAGCTGCAGATAAAGAATAGTACAGAGGAAACAGTCCCAGCTGTCACTTTCTCTCTTTCTCATGTTTTCGCTGCCTTTCACTGACAAACTCAGACATTTCAGAGCTCTAGTCTTCCTCAATGTCTTATCACTCTCAGTGGCTGTTGGTCTCAGCTTCACACATAAGCCTCCAGTTAAAAATAGACTGTACCTCATGGGTATATATAACATGTGTCTATAACAGTGTTGTAAACAAATAAACATACAAACAGTAAGCACAAACTGCCTTCTTATTTGACAGAGAATGTAGTCTTGTTGATCTTGATCTCATCAAGTAAAGCTTGAAATAAACTGAACGCTGATGGACAATGATGGTCTCGTAACATACTGTTGATTGTGAGAGCAAAGTCACACAAGCTACTGTAGTGAGTATGAGGGGCATCATGCCCATAGGGGGCACAGGGGCACATACCCCCTCAGATTTCTCCTGTTTAAATTATTATTATTATTATTTTTATTTATTTTTCTCTCTATAATACTAATAGCCACCTAGGAATTTTATGAAGTTGGCTTTAGCTAGCCCAGATAGGTTCCCAATC